AGCGAGATATAAAATACCATCCCTTAATTTAATTTAATTTGTATTCTTGATCAAAGGGCAGCATTTTTTTTTCTGAAAATTTTATTTTACTTTGCCGAAATTCTCATTATGTACAATTGGCTTCATAACATTCCGATTTATAGTCTTCATTACAATTTGTGCATTTACGATATGAATATTTTTTTTCTTTAATTAAATAAAACAACAATAAACAAACTCAAAACCTTTTACAATTTAAAATCGATGTTGTCCTCAGACCCTTACTGATAAAAGAGGAACAACTCTGAAAATATAGAAGTTTATTTTCCTCCCTTTATTCACGATTTTCCACAGCATCAGATATATTTACAGCAAGACATAATACATCCCAGAATTGAATACTATAGACCTCATATACACAATGTAAGTACTGTACAGCAGGAAATTAACTCGCGGAGTAAATATTCGCTATATTCGCGGAAAACGAATTTCCGCTAATTCAACATACGGTAAATAATTCTTGAAAAGATTCATGAGGATAAACTGAAAATTTATTATCATCTGTGATTAGATGTAGACTGTCATTATAATTATGAGAGTGTATACAAACAGGTGGTTGTTGGTGTTTTGTAAAGCTTAAAAATTTGTTAAATTAATTTCTATCGCTCACGATTACGGTAGTTTTGCCATTTAGTAGACGTGCAATGTACTTATTTAATTAAACAAGCTTGTATAATTTCACCGTCATTACCTTTAATCAGGGCACTTGCGAAGTAATCAGGGTAAAGACAATTAATTAATTTCAATTATATGAGTAAAAGTTCAACAATTTGACTACTATTTTGATTTTTTATTTGGACTCGGAAATTAAAAAAAAAATATTCTGAATGCGTAACATGATTTTGACTTCAAATCGGGATCAGTCCGGTGTTTCGTTATTATCATCGGGCTCAAAATTGACACAATATATAGACTTGCTTTTCATGTCTGATATGCCCAATATACATGAACAGACTTTCGTAAGATAGAGACTAAAAAGAACAGTTCACACAATATACACCGTAAGAAAAATGGTTGCAAGTACTGTTAAAAATGTATGGTTTTTTCCCTTTCCGCGAATTCAAACGACCGCGATTTGCTGAAAATTGAACAAACCGCGATCTTTTCCGACCGCGATTTTAACCTGCTATACAGTATATAATTGAAAAGAATTGTTCACTAGTACTGAAATTATCTGCATTTATGAATATCCTATTGCAGCAAATCGTTTGACTTTCTGTCACTGTCAGCAATGTCGGTTCGCATTTCCTCGAATCAAAACAAAACGTAGCATATAATATGCATAAGATTTTTAAAAAATACCAATGTGCGATTTGATCTAAATTTAATAGATGAAGAGTTTAATGTTTGATATTTTGAATTTAATGTTGACGAATACGGAATTTTTATTTTAACTTTAGAAGAAACGACATTGAAAGAATGCGTACAATATCATGAGGGGTGTACATCTTTGCAAATGTCGATGTATCCCCACGGCCATATACTGTCTCGTTTGAAATAATGACATGAAAGAAACCACAATTATTCCATTTATATCACAGGAGAGTTGAACATACACCATTTTTAATAAATAAAATTAAAGAAATAAAATTTAAATCAAAATATTCAAGTTCAACATAACTTTAATTCCTATCCAGGTTTCATGTTATATGGAATGCATAACGCATAATTTTTATATATATTGACTAAACACTAAAATCCTACGGTAATTTTCCCTGATACATATAAAATCAGTAGTCAATATTTGTTCTGCATTCATGAATTTAAAAACTAATGCTTACCTCCGGGATTCAAATGACGAAATACTAGTATATTTGCACTGTAAATGACGTTTCGTCAAACGTTAATGGTCTGCGACGCAAAAAAAGGAAGGAGCGGGGTTGGTAGGGGTATTCAAAAATTGCATAAAAATCTACATTTAAAACGCTTTACATATGAGAACTTTTAAATTTGTAAGTTAATATATTTTTGAAGCAAAAGCAATATTACAATTTGATTTTTTAAGAATGTGCATTTCTAGATTCATAGCAAAGTGATCGACCCCCGTCTGAAAGACGCGCGGGAATGTGATATATTGAGAAAGGGGGAGGGGGTAATTTTCCGCTATTAAATCAAAACTGGTCGTACAAAAATTATACAAAAAAATTATGAAGATTATTTTTACTACCAGTTACCTAGTAAAGAAAGTTTTTACCAAAATTAAACGACGGGTTTTTTCACAAAAAAAATTGAATTTGAAAAATACACAATTTTCAAGGCTTAGATTATTCATAGTTTTTCAGTTTAAGGTCTTTAAAATTGTTTTGATGGTATTTATATCAAAAAGATGACTGTGTTTTTGTGTTAAATGGTTTAGGAATAAGTCAATGAAATTTCACATTTATATCTAACCTGGCTTTTTTGAAAATCGAGGTTTAAGTAGTTCATTTTCTCTCCTTGTAAACAACTAAAGAGGGGTAACTTTTGGAATTTCCTGTCCAAATACCACTCGAACGATTTTGTCCAAAATGTGCATACATGCAGCAGATATAGTCTTGACTAAATGTACAAAAATAACTAAAATTAAACGACAGGAATTTTTTCGGGGTGTGTGTTGTACATCCTTAAATACATAAAATAACTCATAGACTAAGTAAAACACCAATAAAAAAACATCTTTACAGGTTAATTTTCATAAAACATGTCTCAGAGTACCTACCTTTTAAAATTTAACAGCCAGAAATGAACATAAATAAGTCTGGTATCATATTTTATGTCACTATGCAGCAAATCACATCAAATTTATGTTAAAACTTGTGAAAATCAAAAATGATTAATTTTCCAGGAGAATAATTGAACATTCCCTCCGGAAAACATTGAAAAATTGATGTTGTATCAGTCCACGTGTATCAGAAAAAAATCTCAAAATATCTTTCTTTTTTGAAATCTCTAAATCTAAATTGTTTACGTGCCATTTTTTCTTTAAACTTATAGAAAATTATATCGAAGGTTAACGAAAACATATATTTTATTATTGTTGACCAGAAAAAAATTACAAAAAGCCTTTTGATCACGTATACCCCCTATTTCGGAATTTCTAGTTTTCAATCATTCTTTGCTAAGTTTTAAAAAAGTAAAATTTATAAAAGAGATACATACTTAAAATCAATAAATATACATCTCTAGTTAGTTTGTTTAAAAAATTAAGCATAAAGGCAATTAAAAATATGTGCCTTTGTTTGTACTTAATGATATATATAGATCCTATGAACATATATGCCTATATACCTGCTATTTTATTATCAATCATCAAGAAAGATTTTATTCTAATAAACATGATAAAGAAGTGATTTTCAAAATTTTTATTGATGTGTAAAATTAAAATGGGAACCGTAAAAGTATGAACCTTAATTAAGGGGATCAAAGTTTGGAGATTACTTTCTTCACCCTAACTATTGTCTGTTTCCCGGTAAAAATATCATTAGATTTGTGCATCTTTTGGTTTCAATTTGATTTCAATTCTTTCATATGTTCTCTGCAGCGGAGGAAAACATGTTTGCCTTTACAACGCAAAATATTAACCGATCTTAAGGAGTTGCATTACGATATGAAAAAAATACTAACATCCTCCAAAATCCACCTCTTACTGACCTGTCTTTAGGCAAAAACCTTTTGTTATTCGCATCTAGAAACACAATGGCTATTTAACGAATTACTGTGCACTCCTAGCTTACCTGTAACTTTCCACTCTGTAAACATTGAATTTCTTGTATGTTTGATACCAGTTTTGCACTTGTGAAAATAAAAAAAATCAGAAAAAAGAGAATGATGGTTTAAGTAGGAGAAAGGCCTCAAACTGTATATTCTGTGTGAGAAAGAACTATTTTTAGTTGGACAATTTTGGGTATTTCTCCTTTACTTAAACGAAATAATTTACCTCTACATTTAAACAATAAAACATACAGTTTGATTGATTAATTGTTTGTATATTGTTTAACGTCCCTCTGTAGAATTTTTTACTCATACGGAGACGTAAAAGTATGCCAGTGAAGGGCTTCAAATTTCGACTTTTACTCGGCACTCAGGGTCATTGGGCAGTGAGGGATCTTTATCGTGTCAACGCCTGCCGCCGATACGGGGCCTCGGTTTTTAAGGTCTCATCAGAAGGACCCTCAACTTTCACTTCAAAGTGCCGAGCGCATGGTTAAGGAACAGTTGCTACCCATTTTAACGACTAGGTCAGTCGCGGCCGAGATACGAATTCACGACCTCCCGATCACGGAGCGAGCGCTCTATCGACTGAGCTACCGTGAACGGTCATGCAGTTTGAAAATGGATCATAAAGTTAGATATTTTATCAAATTTCTTCAATTCTGATACAGTGTAGTATTGCGTCATGTATACTCTTTTTTCCCTTTGGAAAAAGACGATTTTTCTTTGTTTTTCTTTATTAAAAGGTTTTTTACAACTGATGAAAAAATTGAAATTATTAAGAACATCTTAATTTACATCAAGTTGACTTTCATGTTAATTGTGTATGTTATCATTTAGAATCAAAAAAATCTATACGAAGGATGAAAAAAGGTATATTTTATGTTTAGAAATATTGAACATTTTAGGTCAAAATGCATCCGAACAGGGGGGGGGGGGGGGGTTAGAATAACAGAGATACATACTTAAAATCAATAAATATACAACTTTTTTTAACTAAAACATGATTTCTTCTATTATTTTTAACTGTTTATTTAATGATTTATAGTAAATTTTTGAGATCATCAATGTCGTACATGTGTAAAAATACCTTTAGACGAAATAGGTTCAATATTACTTAAGTATGATTCAATAATAATCTATGAAATTCTGTAATCTAATGGAAAGAGTTCAACTTTTACAATGTTGGTAAAGACAGTTAGATGTGAATAAACTTATATTTGTAGAATAGACATTTTAATGTATTAGTGAACAAATATCATTTCAGATCCCTAAGTAGAAATCAGATAACCACCATTGCAGACAACGCCTTTAATGGATTGCCAAATTTACAGACACTGTAAGTTTCTGAGCATTTTTTTTCATTTGTCAGATTAAAAGAAAATGTTATTTTATTAACAAATTCGCAAATGCAATGTATGAGGGAATGTGCTTACAACATTTTAAAAAAAGATGTGTTTTGGGGTTTTTTTTATATATGAGGAGTGACCGGTGAAGTGTTATTGTAAGTCTTTTATCACCATGTTCAAACTCAAAAAAAGATTAAAGTATTTTCCTCACATTACTGCTCAAATTGTTCTTCTTTTCTGAACGCAATGTTGGATTTAGTACACGTACTTTTGAAACAAGTGTAAACTTTTAGGGTTTAGAATAAGTGTTTTAATTGAACATATTTAACTTGGAATGTATTTGCTCTTCGTCATCTCCATATCCTTTATTCATATAAGGAGAATATAGAGATAAAGAATATTATTATATAGTCTATTTATAGTCCCTATATAGTCTATACAAACGCAAACAGTTCATAACATTACATATTCACTGGATTTTAGGTCGTATTCACCGGAGGGTCACTGCGCGTGCATCGCATTGTAACGTCACAATCAAAACCTTAAACAACATTGTAAACAATTGTGGCCGTATTCACCGGAGGGTCATTGCGCGTGCAGCTTCATTGTGACGTCATAATCAATACCCCAAACAACGTTGTAAACAATGGTTGCAACGGCCACAGCGAGCTGCGTATCTGAGCAGAAAAAAATATGATACAAACTTATTTCAGGATTATTTCTAAACATTTGGACGTCTTACAAGGCGAAACTCGGAAAGGAAAACACGGAGGTGACAAACTATAATCTTGGCATTTTTTTTTTAAAACGACGGAAGTTAGTAAATGAAAGTGGTTTCGTTATTCAATCTTCAATGTCTTATTTATTCAAATTCGGACTATATAATAAAACAATTATGGACTCTTTTGGTGTTGAATATGGTTTGTTATTCACCAGAAAAATATTCATATTGACCTCGGCTCCGCCTCGGTCAATATGAATATTTTTCTGGTGAATAACAAACCATATTCAACACCAAAAGAGTCCATAATTGTATAGTATTCGATATCAAAGTCCATAAAACAATACAAAAAAGGAGTAGAGCAAACACGGACATCCGAAACATCAGAGGTGGGATCAGGTGCCATGTTAGATTTAGCATCCAATGCTGACTGATCACACCCACCGTGTGCTCCTTATCATGATCGGGAAATAAGGGAAAAATCTGTCGTCAATTCAGTGTATACATAATGCATTACCAATAAGTATAAAAAACGTCACTCAGCATTTGTATCGATCATAGAACTCACGAAATGATGTCTGTAAACGTTTACCTCGTTTTGGAAATTCTTTATACGTAGAGCATGGTCTTGCGTATCGAAAAAACTGGGATATATACGCTCCGTATGCATGTGATGAAGGTATATTGCTGCATAAGTAAGGGAAGTTGACGATAGAAAAATAAAAGTCGTCACGTTTATCATATAGCTTTGGTGTTATGTTACCATTAACGTCTTTTTCAAGTAAAATATCCAAGTATGAAACAGATGTGTCAGACGCTGTGGTATATATGTATCTCAAGCTCTCCTTGATATATCGTATCGACGTAGGAATTGGAATTGCGATTGTGAATTGACAATACCTCTTCCATATACCTGAAAGTCGAATTGAAGGCCACAGCAAGTTTTTTCTTCTTTTCACTTATACAATTTTGCATAAATTGTTCTTTGAATGATGAATACAAAGATAGGTCTGCTAATAACGGAGCGCAATTTGTACCCATGGGAATTCCAATAGATTGTTGGAATACCTTGTCTCCAAAAACCAAATAGATATTGGCAATCAGAGACTCAAGCGTCTTTTTAATGTCAATTTCAAAGTACTTGTGTGCGCAATCAGAATCTGTTTTCACAAAATAATTTTGCGAATGACCAATGACCAGGTAAGTACGCGAGTATGTTAAGTAAGCATATATGTCATGTCTCGGGGAATTTAGATTTTTAAAACAAAATTAAGTTTGATAAATTACCAAAACCGCTGATAAACGTAAACTATGATTAACTGATTAAAGAGTGCCTAATTCAAAGACTTGCACTACCGCCACTGCATCACCTGAATTCTATTAATAGCGAAATTTTCCTTAATAAAAGGTAACAAAACAACAATATCCCGGAGTTTAACAACTTCTTTGAGTAAATGATATAGTTGAAAAACATCTATTTTGCCTAAAAAGTGCTGCTAGAATCCCACTCTAATGTCAGTAAAATTATTATTCCACACATTCGCTCGAAACCTTACCCTGTGTTTTGAATTTTTACCTATGAACCGAGATTTTTCGTGAAACCACGCTTAACTCGGGTTTCCTGCCGTACTTTCCAACTTTCTATATATACAAATCTTATGTTTTGAAATATCCAGCTTATTGTTGTTCTGTAGCTTTATTTTTGTCACAAATAACAGAGGAAAGGCCGCCGGGATACGTCTTTAGATGACTGTCTTCGAAAGAGTTATTCCTCTCAGACCTTTTATAAATATGCTTAGTTTCCAAGGATTTCATTTAAGAATATAAAAGTTACAATGATATCAACTATCAACGATAAATCGTTTAACGTTTTGCATGCGCATGCACGTACATGTACATGCATACGCAAGATGATTATGGCATGTTGTTTAAGCGATTAACATATCTTTCTATCCAGGGAATCAAAGAAAAAATACATATATAAAGTTACCATTTTTCAAGCAGATGTCCTTTTTTAATACATGTATATCGATTCAAATTTTATTTCTCTACTTATTTTAAACTCGGGCTCAAAGTTGTTTTTTTCCGAGGACAAGGCGGGGTTAAAGTCAACTAAGGGTATCATGTCAACCAAAATGAACTTATTCAATAGTAGTTCCATACTTGGAACTTTCTGTTCAGAATTTATTTTTCCTCTCAGGCCATTTTGACAACTCTGGTACCTGTGCCTAGTAAATTTTATATACTTTGTAAATAAATATATAAAGGTTTTTGACCGGAACAATTCATTTTTTCCAATGCATAGGGGGCTACTTTCTTGGGTTTACAAGAGATGTTTAAAAAAGACATTCGTGTCAGCTAATGTGACCAATATTAATTGTTTAACACCTTCTTCTTAATATTTTTATTATGAATGCAAATACCTGATTATTTTAGGAAGGAGCGTACATGTATATAGACTTTGGATATACCGAAAATCGCTATTTCTGGGGATTGCGTAATTCTAAAAAAAATTCAAATAAATTTCAAAGGTAAAATAAACAAAAAATTGCTTTGTATTAAAATATTATTTCAAATCAGTAAAATTGAATGCTATTAACGACATCTGAATAAATAGGCTAAAAAGGCTTATATACCAACTTTGTACATCTGCACTCTAATTTTAAACACGACAGGATTCGTAATTTTTTCCGTATAAATTAATAATTTCTATATACTTTGGAAACTCAAATCAAATATGTTAATGCACTTTCCTCGAGCTATTTTCTGCAGTATTCCCGAAATTTCATGTGGGTCCGAGGTGTTATTTGAGTTTAACAGCGATTCTCTACGTTGCCATTAATTTGATTCGTTTGGTTGTTGCGGGGGAAGGGGGAGGTATTTTTATTCTTAACCTATTTAACGTTGGAGTTGAATCTTGTATCTTACTCCAAGAACTTGAGATTGATTGTGACATTTGGATGAAAGGTCAAGGTCAATAAAAACCACCACCTCTTTAACTTCTATCCTGTCAACCGAAATAAACTCTGAAAGGTGTTTCTAGATACATGTACATGTACTTCATGTTTCTTTTACCCTTGGGTCAAGGACAAAGGTTAAGGTCGATTTCAAGTTCATAGGTCAAGGTGATTTTGGTAAATAGTGAATATCAACATTTTGTTCAGGTAACCAGTGACCTTGACGTCAGTTTCAAGGTCAAGGGTCAAAAGATCTTAATACTTCAGTATGTTACATGTCTTGACATTTAGAAGTTCTTAATTCTGCATGAACATCAAAAACTCAAGTATACTGTCGTTAAATACATTGTGTGCGGGCGCATGTGCATGCACGTCCTTGCATTTACTTTTGTTAGTAGTATAATGTAGACATTCATTATACTTCTGTTAGTAGTATAATGTAGACATTCATTATATCAATTCATATTCGAAATTTCACCCTGTATTATTGACAACCAAGAAAGTTGTAGACATTTAAAGTTTTAGCCAATCAGATTGCAGCACACGTGCATGTGCGTGCGTTCATAATTATTCTTATATATCATGCTGTAGATCTTCATAATGTATGACTATCTTCAAAATTTCAAAGGATTTTGTCAGAAAACAAAAAAGACATTTAGACTTCTAGTTTCAGCCAATCGGAGCGAAGCGCACGTGCATGCGCGTGAGATCTTGCTATTTTGGCTATGTCATCATGTCTATACTACAAATTTATCCTTATTTTATGAGTTTCAAAGCATTTCATCCAAAATTTAAAAAGTTACGGCTATATCTATTATATTGGTCATTTCACGTGTTACACGTGTGCGCACACGCGCGCACGTGCACGCAAAATGATCTTCGTTCCGCACATCTACATAACATACCAAGTGATCCTAAAAAGGTTTCACCTAGATCGGATGAGTAGTTTACGAGAACACTCGCGGACAAAAAAGTACCGGAGAACAAAGAAAAAATTCAGAAAAAGTAAAAACAATATGTTCCCAAACTTCGTTTGGGGAACATAATCACGATATTTCCTTTTAAACTCCATTTTAAGTATCTTTCTACATGCCGTCTTAGCCAAATTCTCTTTACACGGCACAATCCATTCCCGAATTACTTGATGTACACATATGACGTCATCGGTGGTAGATTTTAATCAAAATGACAGATACATTAATAACAAAAGAAAAGCATTCTACTTTCGTTAATGTTTACACGTTTTTATACATTTTCTAGAGTTAAATTACATCTCTTAATACAAATATTACCACAACTTGTGCTCTAGAAT